GGGAAGATTCTGCGTTCGAGTATGCATTAAAATCAAGGTCACCTCTAAAGTTGAAATGAAGGTTAAGTATATGCAATTAATTATTACTAATTTTGAAGAAGAATTCCAATGCTGACCTTGCATTCAACCTTAATCCTCATCTTCAAATTTCTATGTACACTTATGGCCTTAAAGATGAGGCTCTAAGTCAAATTCGTAGTCAGTATTGGAATCTTTTGTAAAAGTTACTGAAGGTCATTAATGATCTCGATAAGCTTAAAATATCTCGGAAGTTAAACCTATTTCTTAATGTATCCCATAATAAAAAACTGGCACATCGACAAAGCGCCATCTAGCTGCCACAAACTGAACAAATCTGACAGGATTTAGCATTCGTTAGGAATGCTGGCGAATATTCTTTCAAAAGAAACCAAGATCATCGAAATCGATCTAGCCAAACACATGTTATGTGACTTTTTCGGAAATGACATTCAACCTTTCCAGCACCCAAAACTAATTAAAACATGTCAAAAAAGTTCGGAAGTTGAACGGTCAATACGATAAGGCTATTTAATGAGTAAGTTATGAAGTTTTAAAAAATATTGGCATCTGAATTTTTGTAATTGGGATGACGCCAGGTATTGACCATTTTAAGAAGCTGAAAATAATTTCCAGCAATTTCTCTTGGCCACTACGATGCCACTCTTATCCGTTGGCCTATCTGTCTGTATGTTGGTCTGTCCGCAAATCCATGTCCTCTCCAGAACCTGAAAAGAGTCGTTTCAGTTGTGATGAAATTTTGACACAAGGTGACTTTTATGCCAATAACGAATAAGCTCTTTTTGTTTTGAAAATCGTCAAGTCGCAGCGGAGATACGGCCAAAAAACAAGAAAATAGAAATCACCCACTCCATTTTTTTAGTGCTTCAGAAATTCCTGCTCATTTCTCGGCATCTTTTTGAGGGAGTAATAAATTGATGATAGGGAGGCTAGTATATTTATACGCTTATCTGTACATTTTCTCTCAAGCCTTAGAATGTTTGAAATATCCGCGTGAAGCGCAAGGAAGATTGGAGAGCTGTGATCACTACGAGACTGGATCCGGGCGGTCGGTGTTGGTAGGTCAGAAAAGAAACTAGATGACAACGTTGTCAAATGGGTGAGGACTGAAGACTAAGTTTATGGACCTATTTAGCTGACTTGCTCCATTTGATTCCTTTATTCTTGGTTGGTCTAGGTTGTGCCAAACATGATATTTCAAGAATCGAATTGAATGTGTTTTTTGAATTCTATATTACATGTCCATCACAAAAAACGTTGTCTATCCGTCTATATGTTTGTCGGTCTGCCCGCTAATCCTTGAACCGCCTTTATCTTGGAAAAACACCTCTCGGATTTTGATGAAATTTTCACACAGGATTGTCATTATGCCAAGGACGTAAAAGCTTTATAGTTTTTAAACATTGGCTTAGTGCCGGCGGCCCTACAAGCAAAAAACTAAAAAAAAAAATAAAAGTCGTTTCAGAGATCCTGATCATATTTGAAAAAAATGTTGGGGGCAAAAGGAATGGGAGGTGGAGGAGGATATATCGCAATTTTTTGATGTTAGTATATTAATACATTTCCAACCTCGGTAATTCTCCGCACGTATTAGACATACTTCACACTCCACAGATTCCCCCGTATATTTGCCCTTAAGACTTAATAAAATATTATGAGCCGCCTACTGGTTGCGTATGCCGCGCACCAAGGACTTATTTTTAAATATTGCGTCTTTGGTGTTCGAGCTGAGTAGGCAAGCAGCGCGGCAACATATGAGGTGGGTGCGATATCACCTGAGCTATTACACTATTATCTTCAGTTATCAAACATTGTTGACAAGCAGTTTTAGACCAGACCACCAAAAAAATGAGGCTCCCATGTAGGAATACGCTCATTGCTGCAGTCTGAGGAATTATATTTCATGAAAAGCCCAAGCAGTGCATTATTGGCTCTTTTTGATGTCATTGCACTGCATCGGAAATTGTACTAGGAATTGCTTTGAACGGGTGGGAAGTATAGAGTCAATTTACTTGACGTCACTTCTTACACTTGAGCCAGCATGTCGAATCAAGGCGGGTACTTTGTAGATAAAGGGAAGTATCCACTGGAAACCAAATTTGTCAGAAGACTTAAGCTCAATGTGTATGAGAGAGAAAAGTCATGTATAGATACATATGTTAGTAAGAGATAGAATCCTGCTGGATCACGAAGCTCATTGCATCATTGGTTCGTTTGATAACACCGCATCTTATACATTCCAAGGCAAGATTTCCACCTCCATGATCATAGTTGAGTGATTTTGGTCAGTAGCCATGTAGCGCTGCTCTTAGGGGAGTGTCGTCCACCTTGGAAATGGCTTTCACTTGCCAAAACGCAGGGTTTGACAGTAACCTAACCTATTGTAGAAGCATGTGCAGATTGCACGACCTTCTGCGTCACCGTTGCTAGGCAATGTGGTGATGATCTTCGCTCTTCAGCCGGCTCCTATCTCGTTCTAACATATGTTGCGCTTCTCTCTCGTAGACATTAAACTCAAGTGGTCAGAGAAATTTGGCCTTCCCTGTAGAAGGCAAGATGTCACGCAGAACAAATTTGCATGTGGACCGTTTACATTGTGGTCTCACCATTGGGATCTGCTGGGTGGTGCCTCCAGATGCAACGTCGGCGGACCAACAGTTCCAGATGATGCTGATCCTATATTTCACATTCTGGAGCTGTCAGTTTGGGTATAAATACTGCCATCCTGTTAACCAATACATGTCTACGTTTCCCATAGGAAAATTCAGTACAAACGCAGCCGTTTGAAAAAAAACCACACCGCGACAACGAACAACCAAACGGCGACAGGCTTCTCGTCCCCTGGAAATAATTGCAATAATTCTCAATTAGCGCACGGCGCGTCGACCCTTTTGAATAAATAAAAGTGCGACCGCAGAAAAATAAATTAATTTTCGGGAAAAAACGTCGGACTCGACCACACAGTCGCGCAACGGGTTGCTCTGCCGCGGTCGCAGTCTTCGCTACGCTGAATTATCTCTATGATGAAAGTTGCTTTTATCTAATTTAGAAGTTAGTTTTTGATATCATGAGGATAAAATTGCGTTTGTTCCACCTTTACCATAGGGTGTAGACTGAAATATGACTGTGTTACATTTATCTCTTACTCACTGTTGACATTCTGAAAATTTTTGTCGCTCTCCAAAATTGTTTCGTTTTCTTGCGTCTTCTGTTTTGTACTGAAATCTAATATGCAGCCAGTTCCTCCCCATCACCCACAAGTTTTTACAGAGGGAAGAATATAAAATATGAAATTCCCAAATTAAAAGCGATCTAGTGGTGCATATTTAAAAATCGAAAAAAAAATAAAAATATCCACTTTTTTTGAAAATATGTGTATACTTGTTACTGTATGAAAAAAACAATCAAACAATTTATTTGCTTGTCTTTTTCCGCTTGTATTCGCCAGGAGCGGCTTCACGTTTAATGGTCCAGCAGTAGTTCGCCAGCATGTTTGGGGTCCATTTTCCACTATAGCCCTTTTCCATCTGAAACTGTACCCAAATTGTTAGGAAAGAATTCTAAATGGGAGTGAAGAAAATACAGCTTAAGTGACATATTTCTACCTAAGATTGGATAAGTTCAACTAGATGTTTGTAGTTGTCTGATTTTTTGTTGCCTAGGAAGTTGCTTCAAACATTTTTGTCTCTTCTCAAAAGTGTAGTTTAAAAATTTTGGTCCTTAAAAGGCTTTCGTATTTGAGGTCCAACGAAAATTCCTTCTTCAAGCTTCTAAAAATCATTTCAAGCTCTATCTAAGGCTTTTACGAAAATGTTTATAAGTCCTAGTTTTATGTGCAGAGGAGGTAAATAAACTTTCTGCTGATCTACTAAAGGTTCATTAAGGCCATTTTTCTGGCTGGGGACAACGTTCTAACGAAACGGCCAATGTTTAACTAAATAATGTTGGTTTCAGACTCTGCTGTCCCATTCTCATAAAAAACAACACTATTTTGTGAAGCCTCTCTGCAATCCTGTGAACAATGCAATAAATTTTTTGATCGGCACAGATATTCCACTTATGATCTTCATATTTTATACTTTGGAGTAATATGCGCATGTTCTGGTATTTTTCTTTCATATTTACAGCCTGACAAACGAAACTGATGGCTGATCGTTTCAATTGAACAACAACACTGATTTCAGACTTGTGTTTGAAGAGTCAATAACTAGTCGGCACTCGCGAGGTACATATAAAATGCAATGTGCATTCAGTAAACCTGGAATATTATGACAGTAAACTGAGGCATTTTCCATCGAGAAAAATACGGCCAGCATAGACTACCTGTTCCGAAGCGTGGAAATTTTCACACCTATTTGTAAAAGGTTCCATTGCTGCAAACGAGAACCAACTGGTTGTGGTTTTTTGGGAAGATCTAAATCACGAACTAGATCATTGATCTCTTCCTGACATATAAAATGTTGCTGTTTGCTGCTACTACATTCGAAAACGAGTTCCTCTTCAAAACTTGGACCGGTTTCTGGCTCCTTTGCGTCAGAATTATCTGGTTCATCATAACATGTCTTTGGAGGATTAGCAACAGGTATGCTAGAAGATCTCCGAATTTTTGTTAAGCAAAAGTAACAATCACCAACATGATTCTTAGGTTCCCGCCGAATCATTGGCACTGGTATCTCCTTTATTTGGAGCTCTAGGGGGTTGATACTTCGTAGATCAGAGACATACCCAGATACACCGCATGCGGTGGTGCCAGATTGTACATACTTTCCCTAGAATAAGAGAAGACGTAGACTTGGAAACGTCGTACCCCGTTATGCTATAGAAAGATAAATATCGCACAGGTACATTTTTACACCTGCATGTTGTTGGTGTTTTATGGAGTCCGTTACGTGATACGACAACTTAAAGGTCGGTGGAGGGTTAAATATTATAATATTAATTATATAATAATTTTCGTGCAGAACACTTATTTGTTTTATCCGTAAAGGTCTTCGCAGGTTCGTCAGTTACAGACCATCTGTCGCTGCCCGTCGCCAAGCAGAAATGGGGGAGGTTATGGGTGAGTGAAACTGTTTTTGATATTTTTCAAAATTAATTCTCGGCCCTGTAGTTGCCTCGCGGATACATCTCCATGTTATGCTGACATCCAAATAAAACCTCATATGTAAAAGAAAATAATTTGCTCCATCCTTAGTGCTGTGGGTCAGTAGCCAGACCTGTAAACCTGTAATCAACTGCTACGTCATCGGTAGGCGAAATAAGATCTCTTCATTTTCTGTGTCTGTGATGATGACCACTCCTATAAAACATTGTTTCATGCTTTCTAGCAATCATCAATAATGTATAGGTCCCAAAAAAAAGGATCTAGGACTAGCCCTAACAACTACAGGCTTATAGCTCTGCCTCCTAATATATGTAAGGTGATGGATAGTTGCATAAATCTGGCTTGATTAGTGACAGGCAGTATGTAGTAGGCAGTATCCACGGGGGACCTTCTAACTTGGACTAAACTCATCCAGTCCTATGATGCTCTTGATATCACGAAAGCGTTCGATCAGCTGCAGCACGTTGCCCTCTTAAGCAAACTTCTCTCCTATGACCTCCCAGATAAGCTTTGCAGAAGGGTAGCTGACTTCCTCTCTGACCGCAAGAAACCCGGTGTGTTTGACGGGTTCCGTTCCTCACAATGCCAACGCGGTTGTTCCCCAGGGATCGGTCTTGGCTCCGACATTGTTCCTCCTACATATCAGTGACCTCATTTCCTGAACGATCAATTCGATCCACAGATGTGATGATGACAGCACCCTACATGCAGGAATTAAGAGTAACCAGCCGATCTCTGCCGGTAAGCTGGGAAAGAGAAGACTATCAGCGACTTTCTCTCTGACAAGGGGCTTCTTATAAACATATACACCGCTGTTTAAGGCTCTTCAGCGAGCATCACTGTACGATATAGGTTTAGTAATTCAGCAACAACATTGGCATAGTGCATCAAGGCTGGTAGCATGGTGAGCACTTAGTCCTCCACTGAGTGACGAGACCTGCCTAAGGTGGCTGGCTACATTTTTTGCAAAAATATTCTTTTTCAGCCAATATCGTACAAGACTAACAATATTACGATGGGGACAGTCCATCTAAATCGCCCTGTATAGGGCACTGATAGCAGCTGTCCCGTAATTTCGATCCGGAAAATTTTTTAGACGAAAAGCGAGATAACCGAGGTATTTAATATGGAAACTGACCCAGGGGGGTCAGGAAATGGTGCTTCCACCATGGCAATGGAGATAGAGTCAAAGGAGCAGACCATAGAAGAGTTGAGAGCCAAATTGGAGATGGTTCGACAGGAGCTGTCAAAAAAGGACGATGATAAGAAGACCATTGAAAGATTGATGATGATCAACGAAGCCCAGCAGCGGACAATTACCGACCTAACAGTTAAATTAGACCTCCTACTGAAAACCCAGGTACCTTCCCATCTAAATATTACACATTCTTCCCAAACACTTCCCAAAAATTCCAGTAAAGACAAAGCTGTCAATCTTAAGAGACCGTTAAATAATTCAAGCGATCTTTCCACAGACGACGATACACTCCCTGACGGTTTTACCAAGGTTAAGAAACAAGACCGGCACGACAGGCTTTCCTCCTCTCACTCCACCAAAATCGCAGTCTGAAACGTCTCATTCAACTGCAAGCGACTCGAATAAACAGCCTGTGCCTAATCTATCGGTTACTCCCACGCCTTCGACATCTCAGGTACCAGAAGACACGACTGCACAGCCCCCACGCAAGGTACGTGTTACCCCCATCGTTCTTCGCGATGCTTCGAGATGGCGAGGCGTAAATCACAAGTTTATTTCTTAGGGCATCAAATTCGAACGCGCGGTTGTCGTCGATGCAGGAATCAGGATAATTCCCAAGTCCGAGGATGATTACCGCAGGATTATTCGTCTCTTCAGTAAGGAAGAGGTGCCCCATCACACTTTCCCTCTACCCCCGGAGAGGAACATTCATGCTGTAATCAGAGGAGTACATGCGACACTTTCGGAAATTGAGATCAAGGAAGAGTTGCAACAGAGGGGATATTCCCCCCTGCACATAATTCGCCTGAAACGCGGTGGCGGCCTGCCCATGCCTTTGGTGGTAGTCATACTGCCCAAGATAGAAAAATCTCAGCTCAGCAGCTGTTCAACGATGCAACCCGGGCTGCCCCCTCTGTGGGATCTTCTGCGAACACGCAAAATGTGGACCTGGCAACCGCGCTAAGGTCCTTACAGCAGATCATAGGTCCTCTGATTAGCGCAACACAGGCTTTGCAGGCGATCTTTCCTGCAAATGGCTAGGTACAATCGACGACAGCCTGCATTTATCAAAATTCTTCTTTGGAATTGTTTGGGTCTAAGGGATATTCCCAAAAGACGGGAATTTCATCAAGCTCTTATGGACGAAAGTATAGATGTGGCCTTGCTGCAGGAAACATTACTTAATCCGGGAGATCGTCTAGCTTTCCCGAATTACGATGTTATCCGGGCTGATAGATTGATTGGACGGGGTGGCGGCTTGGCAGTGCTAGTGAAACGCGGTATTGACAACCAAGCACAAACGCTGACATGCAGAGCATCGAAGCGGCTTCCGTGGTGGTCAATATGACGGGAGGTGTGCCGTTAAAAATCACATCGGTGTATGTCAGGCGTGGTAACAGGCTGCAAGAGGCGGATCTGGAAGTCCTTTTAGACTTCTCGGGTCCACTTATTGTGGCAGGGGACTTCAACTGCAAACATCGAGCATGGCATTCCAGGTTGAATTCCACCAGTGGGATCCGACTGTACAACCATGAGATACGAAATGGCTACCTCATACATAGTACTGAGGAGCCGACGCACCACCCATTTAATCACCTTCAGGCACCTGATGTTCTTGATTTGGCATTCGCCAAAAACTGTAGCTACAGTACCACTTCTCGAATCATGTATGACATCTCAAGCGATCATCTTCCCGTCGTTTTGGAAGTGGCTAATGAGCAGATCTTGGGGGATGAAATCCCTCCAAGGAAACGCATTGATTGGGAGCTATACAAGTCGCTCCTCAAATAGTTCCCCAATATACCGATGATAGATGATGAGAACGGTATAGATGCGGCTCAAGCAGAGTGGACAAGTCTTGTTCAGCAAACTCTGCAGCGTGCAGCTGTACTTCCCGTGCAGCGACACGGCAGACCTTTTCTGCCAGCAGACGTTCGTCAGAAAATTTCTGATAAAAGAGCTGCAATTAAGCAAGCGAAAAGGTCTTGTCATCCTGATGACATTCGCAGAGCGGCGAATCTTGTTCACGAAGTAAGAAATGCTCTTCATGAATTCCGCAATGAGCAATGTAACGACTTTCTGGCGGGGATGCTTGACTCAAGCATTCCTCTCTGGAAGGTGGCGAAGTCGCTCAAAAACGGAAAGCGTGAACAAATCCCACACATTCACGGCCCTGGAGGCATTGTCTTCAGGACAGAGGAGAAGGTTGAGGTTTTCGTCGATGCCATGGAAAGGCAGTTCTCTCCCAACTATGATCTTGATAATGACCTCGACGAGGAGCAACACATCGTAAGATCTGTCAGGAGATATTTTAGGGCCAACGGCGTCAGTGACAGTCGCGCATTCGTTGGTGATTTTTCTTCATCAGAAGATTCTTCTTCAGAAGCTTCTTCAACCGAAGATTTGCTTAGCACATCAGCGGTATCTCCTGAAATCCCGCATTGCACACCAGCAGAGATTCAAGGTCATATTAAAGACCTTAAAGTGCGTAAAGCACCTGGGGAGGATCAAATCACTAATAAGGCGCTGAAGCTGCTTTCGCGGAAGTCCTTAACTCATCTCGTGGCAATAGTCAATGCCATGCTAAGGATCCAGTACTTCCCATCCACGTGGAAGACCGCTGAAGTTATAATGATTCCAAAGAAGGTGGGTTCGATATTTCCCCAGGATTATCGTCCCATTAGCCTACTGTTAGCTGCGTCTAAGCTCGCTGAAAAGGTGATTCTACGTCACCTTGAGAATTTCTCGTCAGATCACCATGTGATTCCTGACGTGCAATTCGGTTTTCGGTCTGAACATAGTACGGAGCTACAGGCGATTAGGCTGGTGGAACGTGTAACCAGAGGATTCACCCTTAACGAAAGTACTGGCATCTTGCTTTTGGATGTCTCAAAAGCATTTGACAAGGTGTGGCACGCGGGCCTCTTGTATAAACTAATCCAAAAGGGCTTCCCTTTTTGGCTTCTAAAACTACTGAAATCCTTCCTTGAAGGTAGGAAATTTCGGATCAAAATTGACAACGTCCTGTCGACAACACGGCTGATTACAGCCGGCGTCCCTCAGGGTTCGGTCCTTGGACCTATCCTTTACTCACTGTACATCTATGACGGCCCTAGTCCCAGCAACTGTGAAGTCTATCTCTATGCTGACGATACTGCATTGGTGGCTCAGTCGTGGTCTGGTGACCTAGTCGATGACAGGCTGCAAAGTGCGGTGGAGGAAGTATTAGATTGGGCGGATCGGTGGCTAATTAAAATAAACCATTCGAAAACGCAGGCAATCTACTGTACAAAAAGACGTCGCGGCGTTCCGTCTGAAGTTTCAATGAATGGACTTCGTATACCATGGGAATCCTCCACTAAGTATCTCGGTGTCATTCTGGACAAAGGGATGACTTGGCGGAACCATATGGAAGCGCTAAAAACTAAATTCCAAATTACGTTTCGGCAGCTTTACCCATTATTATGTAAACGGTCAAAATTAAGTTTGATTAACAAGATTCGACTCTATAAGGTGGTCATAAGACCAGCAATGACTTACGCATGTGCGGCTTGGTATTTTATTCCTAAAACACACATGCGAAATCTGCAGGTTCTGCAAAGCAGGACGTTGCGCACGATTGCTGATGCGCCATGGTATGTCTCTAACGAAACTCTACATAGAGACCTCGATGTCCCTTACCTAAAGGACTACATTAAGCAACAGGCGCAGCGGCGCTATAGCCTAGCGGAATCGCACAGCAACACTTTGTTGCGTGAATCAGTGGACTACACAGTCGAGCAATTTCGCAAGCACAAAAGGCCGTGGCTCGCACTGTAATCAAAATTAACTCGTGAACTTAGAACATTCAAAATTGGAGCATTTTTACACAATCTTTAGAAAAAAAAAACAAATATTTTTAGACCATTCAAAATCTGTGAAGTGATTTTAACAATGCCTAAACGCTGCCTATCCTAAAAGATTCTCTTCTTCCCCTTTGCTCTCGTTCTTCCTTCTCTCCTTTCCTTCCCCTTTTTTCCTTAAAATTGTCTGGTTTCTGGGTTACCAGACCTGACAGACTTACAAACTGACACTGTGACTCAAGATCAAAGGTCCCACGGACCGCTCTGACAACCAACGATGACTTGAATGACAGTCCATCTAAGGTTAAAAAGTTAAAATTCATTCATGAAAACCTGATTTCGCTTGGCGTCTTTCAGGAACCAGTTTCTCCGTAAGTGAATCCCGTAAGACTTTTGGAAATTTTGGCACTTAGACTTCCACTAATGTCTGTCAAGCTTCAGTAACATTATGCAGAACGTATCATCATTGTTCAGATGTATATTTTTAGCAGTGTTGAAGCTGAGTTGTAGCGTTGCTTAATGAATACTCAATCCCTCAATCATTGTCGACGTATCTATTTTCCCAAAAATACAATCCGCGCCTCTGACTGCGTATCGTGTTGCAATGTATTCTAATAGAACGGAAAGAAACGAAATACCCGGCATCATGCCCCAATATATCCTATAGAGTAATGATAGCTTAGTATAATAATATCATTTCGTAGATCGCTCGTACAGATAACATTCAATTGTCATCCGACATTTAAGTCTCTGTAGGATGGAAATGGAAACAAAAAACCAATTTATTCAGGTTCAGTTGAGTGGTAGCCGATCAATTACCACGATTGGCTTGAATGCGCTCCAAATGGAATGAATTATTCACCTGCTGAGTGGAAACGGCTGATTGGCACGAAATATGGAATAAAATCCATCGAACAAGCTATACAATAAACGCAGGACTCAAAAGTGATACAAGTTTACGATTATAATGCCGTTAGTTTAGAAAGTATCAAATTTAGATCCTTTATTCATACTGTCGATCTCAAAGAGACATAGAACAAGTCATACTTAAATTAGGAACAGACAAAACGAAAAAGCAAAGGGAAAACCGTAACAAACATTAAATTAATAATAAAACCGTAAACATAAAATCTCACATGTATATGATTAAAAATAGGAACTAATTTGAAGTTTTTAATAATAAGAACAATTAAGATGAATGCGGAAGCGCACATATATTTCAAAAAATGTCCAAATGTAGGAATTTGAAGTACTCGTATAATAAGACAAAATCACTCAAAAATACATGCTAACACACGAATGGACAAACTCACATGAGTATGTATAAATAAAATAGCGGCACACAAACTGTCTAAGATCATGCGAATTCGCAAAGCCAAATGTCAAATATAGAAGTCAATACATAAAATATATATATATATATATATATGTTATTATCAACAAGTTATTCATATACGAATATGCCTTCTTTTTAAAATTGTACGAGTTGGCCTGTTTGATTCCGTTAGGCAACTCATTATATAGTTTTATCCCTATGATCTTGCGACTAGATTCCGTTGTGGATGACTTGTGTGCAAGAATCTCCAAGATCACGGAATTCCTTGTGGAATATTCCTCCAAGACGACTGAGCTGAAGGGAGATGCTATAATACACCAATACTTCATACATGTAAAAGATCATAAATGTAAATACACGTCAGGGTGAGAACCTTTAGATTCACAGATAATTCTCTACAGCTAAAGTCGCACGATTTAATTTTGTTCACAGTGCGAGTCGCGGCCTTGTGTGCTTGCGAACTTACTCGACTGTGTAATCTACTGACTCGCGCAACAAAGGGTTGTTATGCGATTCCGCTTGACTATAACGTAGCTGCGCTTGTTGTTTGATGTAGTCCCTTAGGTAAGGGATGTCAAGTTCTCTGTGAAGGGTCTCGTTGGAAACATACCATGGGGCGTTAGTGATTGTATGCAAG